CTGGCTTGTCCGAGTTGTCAGAGCGTAAAGCCTCTAAACCTCCTCTAAACCCTAAACCCTCTACCCTCTACACCCTACACTGTCGCCTCCTCGCCTCAGGCCCTGCACAGCCTGGATCAGGAAGTGCGCAGGAATGTGGCGCTGGCGCTTGGCAAGCAGGCCAAGGCTGGAGCGCTTAAGGTGTTCGCTTTCCGCTGTAAAGCAGTCTCGGCCCAGGCTACTGTATGAGGCTTGTCTATGCCTACACTAGAAGGTCAGCGCGGTTTAGTTTCACTGGTGATCTGGGCTGCGTTAAAGTGTATGTTACGTGGCAGGCGTGGAACTCTTGATTGTAAGCTATTTTCCGGGCCTTTCAAGACTAATCATAGGGGCTTTCAACAAAAACCCAACTGCGGCATTTTGAAGAAAGTTTTCGACACATGTCTGCCATTAGACCCCCCCACCTCACCCCGCCCACCCCGAAAGCAAGGGGCCAAACAAGCGAAAACTGCAGCGTTGTTGATGAAAGTTCTCGACACACGTCCGTGATTAGCTACCTCTCCCCACCCCTGCAACCCCGAAAGCAGGAGAGCGAGCCTGAGCAATTCTGCAAAGGGTACTATAGTAAAGCCATAGTAAAGCCTTCACCGGTGGAAGATGGTGCAAGCGCAGCGGAGGTCGCATCGAAGCATGCGGGGGCCCTGTGCACACGGATGTTGGGGAACCGCCCTGGCGTCACAAGCCTCCCGGCGGCATTGGCTCTTGAAATGCCACAAAGAGAGAGTTGGGCACTGTCTTTGAGAGCCCTGAGTCACTGAAGCCCCTGGATTGGACGAAGGCGATGACCCGGATGCTGACCTGAGACCTGTCCTCGGTATCGGTATGGCTTTAGAAGGGAGACCACCCCTCAAAGCTGTCATCTCCTCTGGAAAAAACAGGCGAGCGGCTTGAGGTTCGCACGGCCTGCATGCTGCCGCCTCGGACCGGGCGCTCCCTCTCACCTCCCATAGCCCAAAAAAGGGGGGACACCTCTCTTTCTGCTTTAAGGTGGGCTCTGGGGCAGCTGGAGCCGGAGGCGGCCGGAATCCCAGGGAGCTCCTTACGGTCTTGGGAAAAAGAGATCTCCGGTACTTCGAGAAACTCTGAGGTGATGCCACACATCCACAACCTCGACGATGGTCTCTTTCACCGGAACCCGAGGCTTGGGGTTTTCAGGGGGCCCAAAAAATCCGAGCGCACTCTCTGAGAGATCTCTGCGGCCCCTCAGATATCGACTCGTCGCGACGCAAGCTCTCGCCAACCTCGGGCCGAAGGCGATTCAATCCCGGAAGGCCAGCAGAGCTCTTTGGAAGTGCCATCCTTTTTTTGCACCAACTGTGCTAGGACCACCTGATGGTGATGGAGTCCACCGATAGGGACGACGATGTGTGGTGCCTAGGGCCTAGGGCTAACCATACAGATATCGACCGACATGCCTGCTTTTGATGGTGCATCCTTACACTCATAAATGAGAAATGTGCATGTGATTGTGCGAGTGCAAGCATGTGAGTTCATGCAAGTACCATAGCGTCCGCATGTGGCTCAACAGCAGGCTTGTTAGAATACCATTTCAGGTAGACAACAAGCTGTTCACAGGTTTTTGGCAAGCCAAGAATACATAGATGAAGTACAAAGCCTAGCATGCATGCATACATACATGCATCCTTTCATAAGTACATGCTTACATACGTACTTTACATACGTACGTTCGTACGACCAGTCAGACTGACAGACTGACAGACAGGCAGAGACAGACAGACAGACAGATAGACACTCGAAGACGCACAGACGCGAGCCGTGTGGGGTTGGCCTACGGGCCGCGGGTCCTCGACCCCAAACCCCAAGCAAGCAAGCAAGCAAGCAACAGACAGACAGCCAGCCATACATACATACATACATACATGCATACATACATACATGCGTAAGTACGTACATACATACATACATACATACATACACACAGACATGGAAGAAAGAAACAAAGATACATATATATATATATACCTACATACATACATACATACATACATACATACATACATGCATACACACATGCATACGCGCGCAGCTCATCCAGGCGGTTCTTGATTCTTGTCGGAGCCTTCCTGTACAGACAGGCTGTATGCGCTGACAGGAATGCCGGATGTGCCACGCGACACAAAAGGATATGTCGAGTTCATATGAAGTCACCGAATCTTTGCACGAGCCCGCAGCATAGTCCGCAGTATTGCACGCATCGCAGCGTTTACTCCTTATCAAATATCTCCGTGCAATCTGTCAATCTTTCGAATCTCCAGCTTACAGCCCTGTCGCATTAGTTGCGTGACGTGTGACCAGAGTGCGCCGCACTCCATGCACGCATGCGCGACACACACACACACAAGTTCTACCAGTGTCGAATGCATGTTGCAGCAGCAGGAGCAGCACGAAAAAAACAAAACTCCGCACGATGATCTAGTACAGTCTGTACCGTTCCCCTCATGCCATAAACATGCTAATGAATCTACAGGCTGCTGGTGCTTCTGTTTAGTTACCTGTGCATCTGCATGCATCTGTAACGAACATGCAGCACTTTTGACAGGATGTACAGCACTGAGTTGGCGAACAGATACCGCTGGAATGGCATAACACCCCAGAGTGTCATATAAAGTGATACGTGTAATAAAGAGCGGAGAAATATTTGAAATATTTAGGGGTAAGGCGGTGCTGGCAGCAAGGCCAGCACTTGACATCTGCAACCATTTGTGCGACGAGTTGCCCAGGACCCCCCCAAAAAGACAAAGGAAGTGACTAATCACTCAGAGTTTTCTAACCCTGCCCGCTGCGCCGTGCGCCATGCCTGCTCTTGTTGAGCTTTGGCTGCCTAGACGCGTCGAGGCAGGGGATGGATAGGTCGAGGATGTGGCCTCCGCAGTGCTTGCGCATCCGCTTGCTTTGCCTCCTAAACGCACAAAAAGATGTGTCGGGTGCTGTTGGGCCATAGCCTCAAGCACTCGCTTAGTTGCGGGAAGTACTCGCAACTTTTCATGGGCGGCGCCACCTCCACGGGGTCCACGAAGATGAAGCTTGGCAGGATTTGCCGCATGTAGCGATGCCGAACATGTGATGCCGATGCTTTCAGATGATTGCATACGTGGTTATACTTTACAGATACACATGTCTGGATGTATGTATGTACGTATGTGTGT